CCCTATTTTGAGGTTACGGAGCTTAGAGAGAGTGCCTAGCACAAAATTTAGAGAACTTTTCAGCCTTGTTCATCAATATTTTGGAATTCTTTGTAAGTTCAATTTTTTTAATTAATGACAATTATTTCTATTCATCCCAATCCTGTTGATTTATCAATTATGAGTTGTGAGTAGTTTAATTAGGGATTTGAGATTGATGAAGGGGTTAATCATGATGTATGCCTAGTTTATTGATGGATTAATTGCATGAATGTCATTTAATTTGCGTTTGAATGATTTAATTGATATCTCTTGTAACCTAGAACCGCGGCTAGAATACAATTGCTTGTAGAAGAATTTAAGAGAGATTTGGTTTATTCTAAGACACCTTCACACACACTTAATCGCTCGCTAAGACATTAGTAGCAATTAAGGGCCGTAAGCTCGCTCGTCTTGACAACAATTTAGGACCTTGTCGCATGAGAGATCAGCATGGTCCCCTAAATTATTATACTCTACGCTGTGAAAGAAGTTATTATATTATATAATATTGATTGATATTTGGGATGTTTTTACTTGGACTGTAATTTGCTGGTCTGGTCTGATCTGGTCTGGTCTGGTCTGAACTGGTCTGGTCTGGTCTGGTAAGGTCTGGTTTCTTTGTATTTTTATAACTATCCAAGTCTGGTCTGGTCTGGTCTGGTCTGGTCTGGTCTGGACTGGTCTGGACTGGTCTGGGGCAAATATATTACAGTCCAAGTAAAAACATCCTTGATCTACCTTTTGGGAACTACTCCCACTAAATAATCACACTGATTATGATTCCGAAGAGACAGGCTTTCCTTCCATCGACAACAACTCATTGGATTTTAATTCGATGGAAAATTTAAGCAATATTTATTGAATTGTAGTTAGCTCAAAAGTCTGTCCTCAAACTCAAGAATTCTAGCTTTCCATCACGTGGAAGTTCCTATCTTGAAGTACCGATGTTTAGCGTCATTAAAGTATCTTAGACTATTGATATTATCACATTTTAATTTTAATATCTTAATTGTTGAACAACAAAAATATTACGTACTCCTAGTATTTTAGTTACCATTTAAATTTTGGAATACACTTTCAATGGTAAAGTCACTAAAATTGCACAAAATTGTTAATTATATTAGGAACAATTCTGCAAGCGAGTAATAAAAATGCATGACTAATAGTGAGCATATATGAAAGTTAAGAGACTAAAATATTTTTAATTAGACTATAATTTTATGGTCTTAATTGAAAATTAACCACTTTCTTGAATATGAAAAGGTTGGTCTAACTTTTAGTGTGTTGATGGTCGTATTATACGTATATATAGATTAATGAATATTTCTCTAATACGTATTGCAAAATGATTATTATTTGTATGTAAATGATGAGTATTGTATATAAAAATAAAAGTGAACATAAAATCATATATACGACAAATTGAGCACTCTTTAGTCTTTAGTTACATAATGAGTGAACAATTCTTTTTTTTTTTTAACTAGTATAGTACCCGTGCATACGCACGGGAAAGAGCGGTCGGTGCATATATTTTTACTCAGGTTCAAATTAAATATTTAAATAAAAACAACTTTTTTGGATTCAACATTTTCGAAAAATAAGAGTTTAATAAGCTAATGCCATAAAGTATAAATCCATACAATATGTATTCAATGAAGAGTATATTAATTAGGAAATTAATTGACATCACTCATTAGAATTTGCTACTTATTAATTTTTATGATTATATTATTAATTTTTAAAAATTAAATACTATTCCTAAAAAAAGTGAGTGACATAAAATTTAAGTGAATAAAATAAATATTAAAATTAACGAATATTAGTTATCAAGGCACTACGTATGATAGAGAAAATACTCCTTAATTATTACTCGGCTTATCTTATACTTTTTTTTTAATATGAGGGGGGGGGGGGGGGGGGGGTCTACTGAGAGCCCCTGCTTTTTTTCTCCTTTTATTAGAAATTTATGAGATCAAATTACAAAAGTTAATGAAGCTAGAAAGCTAAGGAAATATAAGCTAATGAAACAAAAGCGCTAATAAAAAAAGGAAATAAAATAAAATTCATCGCTCAATTGTTAGCAAAATTATCTTGTAAAAACTAAAAGCACTACATATGAGAGAGAGAAAAAACTTTCGCTTAACTATTAGTAAGCTTATATTGTTATATCTAAAAAGACTACATATGAGCGAGACAACTCTCCTGTTCAATTGTTAGCTGACTTATGCTATATACTTAAAAACACTACATATGGAAGAGAAAATTTCAACTCTCAACGGTTAACCGGATTGTCTTATATACTTAAAAAAAAGAACTACCTATGAGATAGAAAGTTCTGTCACTTAATTGTTAGCAAGTTTATCTTTTTAGTTTCTTGTGCATAAAAGAACTACATATGAGACAGAGAGAATTATCATGCTCAATTGTTTAGTCTTGTTATCTTATATTCAAAAGAACTACATATGAGGGAGAAAGTTTTTCTGCTCAATTGTTAGCAAGTTTATCTTCTAATACCTAAAAACACTACATATGAGCGATAAAGTTCTCCTGCTCAATTCCTTCGCTCAATTGTTAGCAATATAATCTTCTAATATTTTAATACCTAAAAACACTACATATGAAAGAGAAAATTCCCCCACTCAATTATTAGCAAGATTATCTTCTTATACCTAAAAATGAGAGAGAAAGTTATCTAGCTCAATTGTTAACTGGTTTTCCTCATATCTAAAAACACAACATATGAGAGAGATATCATTGCGTTCAATTGTTAGATGAATTATTTTGTACTTAAAAGAACTATATATGAGAAATAAAGTTTTAGCTTAATTCTTAGCAAGTTTATCTTCTAATAACTAAAGTAGTACACATGAGATAGAAAATTTTCCCGTTCATTTGTTAGTCAACTTGTCTTATACCCAAAAGAACTACATATGAGATAGAAAATTATCTCGCTCATTTGTTAGCCGGTTTGTCTAACAAATCTCTCTCTCAATTGTTAGCTGGATTATGTTATAGGTAAAAGCACTGCTTATTGAGAGAGAGAAATATCTTGTTCGATTATTAGAAGACTTATGGCTTCATCTTTCTTATATCTAAAAGCATCACATATGAAAGAACAAATTTTCCCACTCAATTGTTAATTGGCTTATCTTACTATTTTACCAAAAGCACTACAAATGAGAGAGAAACTTATCTCATTCAAATGTTAGTCAACTTAAAAGCACTACATATGAGTGAAAAAATTATTCCGCTCAATTCTTAGCCGACTTATCTTATACCAAAAAACATTATATATTGTATATATAAGAGAGAAAACTATCCCACATCCTCCACAAATGTGTAACGATTCACCCAATAAAATTCTTCCCGATTTGACTTAGATCGGAGTTTAAGAATGTGGGAATAAATTGAAAATGTGAGGTTGTGGTTGGGTAAAAAAACGTAAATGAATCTTAGTCAGTTGCTTTTATATATCAAACCAGTGCACATCAAATTATAAAATACTTTAGGAAAGTTTTCTTAAATAAATTTAATACTTTTAGATTTTCCTTTCATGGTCTGATTTTGATTTTAGAGACCGTTTTGTAGCACTAAAATTAGTTGAATGTCTTGAAATGGATGAAATTTTGAGGGAAGTGGTTGAATTAGTTGAATGGATAAATTTAATTTTAATTAATTTTATTAATAAAATAAAGAAAAACATTATATGAAATGTAGCTAAAAATGATCACCTAGAGTAACTTTTCCAATTTATATAGTGAAATAGATCAGAAAATATATACGTAGTACAAATAATTTTAAGCATAATTATAGAGACCGTTAATAAATTATATTTTATATAGTCAATATTGATATCAAATGAAAGATTTGATTGAAAATGAAAAAGTTATAACAGTTTAAAGAAAATTGGGGTTGTTTATAGCTTGGGCCCCACAACTGAATCCCTACGGCTGCTCCATTCTATTCCAAGGGGAGAAGTTCGGCACTTTCAAATAAAATGGCCACATGGCATTGCTAGAGTAAATGAGAAAATTAAGGAGAGCTAGACACATGAGATTCATTAAGTGTAAAATTGTATTTTTATGAGCTATTACTTTTCTTATATATAAATAGATTATAAAATTTCAATTCCGAGCATCCATGGACCGGATAACTTAGCATTGTACTCTCGTTATTTTCCTTTTAAAATAAGACTCATTCACTCCTAATATGAGAAGTTTTATAATTTTAATAAAATCAAATAAGTCATACTTTGGGAATAAAATACATATAGTCATATTTGTGCATTTTGTCTAAGTTTTTATCTTATTTGGAGCAATTTCTATTAAATATTTTAACATTTATTTTATGCATTGTTTGTTCATTGCATATTGCCCTTATCATTTTGAAAGAGCTAAACATATATCCACCGTTATGCAAACAATGGAAATTTTATGCAAACAATGGAATTTTTTACTAATATTAAAATTAATTATACGAAGTATATCACACCAATATACATGTATATGCATATATAGTGTATGTATACAAATACTACCTCCGTCTCACATTGTTTTGTAAAGTCAACATGTTTTGTCAAACCAATAATAAAGTTAAATCCTCTCTATTAATAACTACGTAGTAATTCAATTTTAATAATTAAAATTTAGATATAAAGAAATAACCTTAAAATCTCTATAAAATTGTAAAAGCCAAATCAAACTTAATTAAGATTTGATATCCTAATTAGGTGATTTCTATGGTACCCATAAGGTATCATACCTTTGTCCACATGGACCAATGAAAATGTAGCAGTTGAATTATTTAAATCTAAATTAAAATTGATATAGTGTTGTGGTCCAATCAATTGAATGCTAGGTACGGTACCCCTGTTTTTAGAAAGATACCGGAGTTGTCACCTCCTAATTAAGCTATGTCTGTCTAATTTTCCCTACTTACATTAGACTATAAATATGTATACTATACATGGTCTATGGACCGTCGGAGAAGAAATTAAAGAAAGTAATAAGCAGCAATTAGAGATCGAGTACGTAAAACTTCGTACTAATTAAATTAAACTTCATAATATAATGATCCCTGCAACTCATCTCTCCAGAATGGGAATATATGACGTTACGATCGGAGGCGTCGAGGTCAAGGCTCGAGTGATCGACGACGGAAAGCTTATCAACGCCGCCCTGGCGGAGTTGGAGTTGACGGAAGAAGAAAACCCGATCGTCGGATTGGATTTAAAACAGTGCAGAAACGTGTTTGGACGGAGGAGATGCGCCGCCGTCATCCTCTGCACCAATGCTAAGTGCCTTATCATACAGCTAGACCGTATGACGAGAGGCGGCGGCGGTTTCAAAAACCGCCGAAACCGCCGCCGCATCCCGAGAATTCTCGGCGATTTCCTGTCGGAAAGGCGCGTTTGTTTTGTGTCGCCGAATGGGTTCGAGAAAAGAGTGCATGGACTGTCGTTTCCGGACACCGCAAGGGTGGCGAAAAGTGGGCCATGCTGTGGGGCCCGTTCCTCTCCTCGTCTCTTCAAGTGCAAGGAGATCCATGCAGTTGAAGTTGGGAATTACGCAGCTAGGGTTTTGAAGAAACCAGAACTTCTCAAGTGTAAGTCTCTTGAGAAGCTGGGGAGTGAAGCTGGGGTTGACCTAAACTCCTCGGGTTGCTATGGTGGAAATGGAGTCAAAGCTAAACGGCCGAAGTGGGATTCTGAGATTTTCTCGGAGGAGGAAGTTCTATATGTTATGCATGATGCTGTTGCTTGCTACCGTATTGTCCACAAGCTCCTTCATCAAATATAGCACTGGTTATATGCAATAGTACGTAACTCTCCTGCATATGGCTTTCATGCATAAGAATGTTGTTGGGTACAAAGACTCGTTTAATTTATCAATAATAAGATAATAAGAACTAGTTTTCGCTCATTTGTTGTACCGATTGTACTTAGCTACCTCCCAATTAGAAATTAAGGTTTTTATCATATTGACCTATTTTTGATCAATGTTGAAAAAGTTGGAAAAAGTTGGAATAATGATTTCAGTTATTATATTTAAATGCAAATTCATAAATTTAATAAATTTATGAAAATGTTTTTATTAAATATTAGTTTTTTAATTTTTTTATATTAAAAGTAATTTTGTATTGAAAAATATCATTGATCAAAGTTAACTACTACCTCCGTCCCAAAAAGTGTTGCAAATTTGACTTTTCTTAGTCAAACAGTCTCGTTTTGTTCACTTAATTAGGATGTCAGTTTTTAATTATTTTCTAATTTAGAGTTTGCAACTTGAAGAGATTTTAATGTAGTTTTTGAATATATAAATTTTAATTTTTAAAAATTGAATTAATTATCCATAGTGACGGTTGACTTTTATTATTAGTTGACCAAAAAATGTTGACTTTGTAAAACAAATTGGGACGGAGGGAGTATTATTGATCAAGAAAAGTCAACTTGACCTTCATTTACTTGATCATGCACTTTCGTAGAACGGACAAAGTAAATAATTTGTCTTTCCTTTCTTAAGTCCGTTTCCACTTTCTCTTCTCTATTTTCTTACTTTTCTAATTGCCGGAGTTTCATTCTACAAGACCGATATGATGTGTAACTTAAAATCTTTTTTAAAGGATGAGTAATCTAAAATCTTAAACATCCTATAATTGTCTATTAATATTACTCCGTACTTTATAGTATTAGACGATTATACTTGGAAAACTATCAGTTTAGTCCTCGTACTTTTATGAAAAAGTCAATTAGGTCATGCATCGTACTTTTGAAAAGATCAATCAAGTCCCTGAACTTTGTAAAAAAGTTCAATTGAGTCCTTTGCATGTTACTTGCCATGTCAGCAGGTCACTTGCTGACGTGGCGCACACGTGGCAGCCCATTCAGCAATGATTATGCTGACGTGGTTGTGGTACACATGTAGAAGTCCAATAAGTCATTTGTTGATGACGTGGCGCCGCACATGTGGACCGCCATGTCCGCGCCACGTGAAAGTCCAGTAAATAACCTGTAAATGTACTCAATTGAACGTTTTTATAAAGTTCAGGGATTTGATTGATTTTTTTTAAAGTACGAGGACCTAATTGACTTTTTCATGAAAATACGAGGACCAAATTGACAGTTTTCCCATTAATTATACTCTATGTAGCACCGATCGCAGGACGCGGAAACGCAGAAACGGGGATACGTCAAAACAAAAAAAAGTAGGATACGGATATAGGGCCATATTTATAAATATTAAAAGTTATGGGGGTGTATTTACATATATTAAAAGTTATAGGGGTGTATTTATAAATATTAAAGATAGATTTTTTTATCTGAAAATTTATACATATAATATCTTATGACGTCTACCCATTTATTGCATTAAAGTATTTTCCTTTTTCAAGATACTTAGTAATAAACTCATAATATTTCTCATATAGACTAGTGCATCTCGAAATCTAAATGTAGTCAATAAGTCATTAATTTAAAATGAGAAATAAGTCAAACAATTACAATCTTGAAATTAAAAGTGCAAGTACCCAAAGTTCTAGAATAATGAAGATAGACAACAATATTTTAAGAGTTCTAACTTCTAATACATATTTTCACTGGAAGTATTAATTTCCAGGGATAATATCGTCTTCCAAAAAACGGCATCCAATTCTGGTTCATCTATGGAGAGGTTGGCAAACTCAAGTACTCCGTCCTATATCCTCCATGCTCCCAAAATCATCTCCACCAACATCCCACATTTTACTTTTGTCATTCATATACTGTTTAGAAGCTCGTGATAAAAGACGAAGATTGTTATGAACAAATACCAAATCCTCCGCTCGCTTTGGAATTGAAGTAGTTTGTTTCTTCTAAATGAATTAATAAAAGAATAAGAACTCCAATTCCTTTATGAGCATGATGATGAAGTAGGCAAAGTATGCCCGTAAAATGGAAATATAGCCATATAGGCCCATTATTTGATTATCAAGTAAAATGTTTTTTTAGATTTCCATCTTTTCAGAATTTTATTAAGTAATTTTTTTTTTTTTAAAGTTGTACGGGTATCAGTCAGGATACGAGTATCGGAAACTTTCAAAAAATTACAAAAAAATGGAAACTTTTAAAAATTACAGATACGGTCCGGGAACGTATGGTACGGGTATCCTAGAGTATCGGATACGGGAACGTATCTGATACCTCGATACTCTACCCTAGGGAAGTATCCGTGCTTCGTAGTTTATACTTCAACAAGCTTGAGTTCTCCAAAGGTTAATATATTATTAGGTATTCTTACAAGGAATAAGCTACGGGTATAAGTTTGAACTCTCATCATATTGGATGGAGAACTAACGCATGTCAATGTTGGTGACTGTCTTTTTCTTGATCTAATTACATGAGGATTATATAATTCAATTCTCAACTCTTTATTTTAATTCAATTCTCTACTTTAATATAGGGAAAAATAAATAAAATACCCCAAACTTTGAAGGGGCGTGAGATGATCGAACAACCCAAACTTGCATGTGTATTTTAAATACTCCAAACTTTATAGAAAAGTTATTTTGTCACCATAGTCGAGTATTATTTCTTTCAAAAATGTTAATTGATGGTGTTAATTTCATAATTTAAAATATTTTAGAATTCATGAAGACTCAATTAACATTATAAACTTCCATGGTGAAATAAATAATGTTACACCCAATGTATATAATTGCAACACTTTTAATTTGCTATTTTAAATTATGCAATTAACCCCATAAATTTACATTTTTGAAAGAAATAATACCTGACAATGGTGAGAAAATAACTTTTTATATAAAGTTTGGGGTATTTAAATTACATACGCAAGTTTGGGGTGTTTACTTAACACCTCATTAAAGTTTGGAGTATTTTTATTATTTATCCCCTTTAATATATTAAATATGTTAGGTTCTTATTGTTTTTAAATATGAAGTTGCAATGAGTGACATGTGATATTTCATTACGTCCAAACTGACACTATGTTTTTCAAAAGCATGAACCTAATTTCAATCATTCAATGGTGTGATGATTTGTAGAAGTGTAAAGTGTTGGTACTGAATTTTATCTTAAACTACTATATATGTCCATTTTGCATTTGACCGTTTTGCTTAGCCTTGGACCCGGTTCGGGCCACCCGGCCCGGTACTGTGCTGGCCCGGCCCGGCCAGGTAACCGGGTACCAGTTCCGGGTCTAGGCCTGGTTTAGGGGGGATAGCCGGGGCGGGTACGGGTCTGGGATATCTGGAACCGGCCGACCGATTCCGGGCCCGGTTCGGGCTTTATTCTTTTTTTTTTTAATTTTTTTTAACTTTCCGGGTTGGACTCGATATTTTGGACCATTTGGGATGGTTTGGTGGGGTAGGGGGGGTTTGGGGGTTAATTAAAAAAAACAAAAAAAATATAAAGAGGCCCGAGGCCCGGCCCGACCCGGACCCGGACCCGGTGGATACCCGGGCCGGTCCGGGCCCAACCCCAAATCCCAGAAAGCCCGCCGGGCCTAGGCCCGACCCGGGCCCGAATCCACCCCTAGTTTTGCTACTCCGTATAATTTTTTACTTCGTTTTTGTACACTTGGTGGGCAATAGTACTTCTCTCTATATACATAAGCGACATTACACTCTAAGGCGGGTCTTTTCTTATTTAAAGGGAATAAGGGGGTGTTTGGATCTGATTCTTAAAGTTGCTTCTGCTCTTTCGGAGAACAGAAACATAAGTTGAAGTGTTTGAGTGAGATTGCAGAAGTCATTCTGGTACTCTAATTTATTCCCAAAATCAGTTTTTTTATAAATACGGAGTAAGTTACAACACTTCAAAAAAATGGAAATTAATATTTTGCTAGCCCCCACCCACCTCCTTGCCCCCCTCCCAACCATTGTTTTCTTTTCCATTCGGAATAGGCATTCCCAATCCCGTGTTTTGGTACAACAACCTCAACTCCCGTATTTTTTGTTGTTAGACAAAAAAGTCCCATCTTTTGGAAATTTCCTCTTCTAAGGCATCGCCTAGAGTCCCTGGACATGTTTGAAAGCACGGAATGCACCTTTACGAGATGAATTACATGCTTTCCAATATCATTTGTTTTTATGAATTTTTTCACCTAATTTAAGTCGCAACAAAGACAACCTAACTTATCGAAAGCCTATTGCTATGATTCAACTATCTCTTTTACTCGTTTGAGTAGTTTAGCCCGAGATGAACACTGCTTTACGATTTTAGAACTCGCTATCCCCCTCTCTCCTTGCATGTTATCTTTTTATTGGTGATATTCTCACCTTTTGTCTGATTATCTCATTCCTCGTTTGTTCAAGCAATTTTTTCTAGTATGTTCACACATTCAACACAATCTACGCATCTCTCTCACACTCATCTCTTAAACGTGATATTATTATTATATACTGTCCGACACTCTACGCCATAAATTCAGCTAATCTGAATGGAAAATGACATTAGAGTTGAAAACAATAAAATAGCAACAAGAAGGACAAACAAAAGTGATATCAATCATACTTTGATGAAAAACCTAAAGCTCAAGTCCAAACAACACATATTTGAAAAGCTAGCCTTAGTAAAATTTATGATTGTATTATAAGAAAACAACAATGTTTGATGTGCCCACTCTTATACCCACCTTATACCCACGATGTTTGTGAAGTGTTTCTTTTTTGTCTGTGAACCCGGTTCACAGACAATATTTTGTTTGTGCAAAAAATTGTCTATGACCTAGGGTTCACCGACAAAAAACAAACTTCACAAACATAGATGGTTACAAAAGTGGGTATAAGAGTGAGTACAAACATCATTTTTTATAAGGAAACAACTCTCGATCGAAAGAATACCCCTGCACTTTCCACTGGAACAATAAACTAAAGCCGCAAATAATATTTTGAATTAAGTCCCAACATCCACTTGATTCAAAAACATCCACTCCTGACTAAGACACAAAGAAGTGATGCTTCGCTTGAGAAGTGACTTTGTAAAGATGTCTGTAACCTGCTCATTTGTGCCACATAACTTCATACTTCTATTAATCTTCCTATCAGCTACTAACTCACGAATGAAGTGGTGTGGCACATGTATGTCCTTTGTCATGATACGGAAAGCTGGATTTTTTGCCATTTCAATAATTGATCGTAGCTTTCTCCTGCTCAATAAGAAAATCACCAAGTAATTTTTGCAACCACAAAGCTTGTCTTGTCGCTGAAGTTGTTGCTACGTAGTCAGAAATGTGAATTACTTGGAGACAAAGCCATTGTTTCTTACTTGTTTTAACTCCATGCATGTCACAGCCCCGGAACCAACACTAAATACATTGCATGAAGTACTTTTGCGATCATCAAACACCCTGCTCAATCACTATCTGTATACCCAATCAGCTTGAAGTATGCCACTTGTATACCGGATGCCATGATTTGATGTTTCAGATACATAATTTAGTATCCTTCTTGTTGCACCAAAGTGTTGCTTCGTTGGATTAAGCATAAATCTTGACAGTTGACACAACACTAATAGGAAATGCACTTTGCTGATGTCCGGCCCAGTGCATGTGTGTAAGATAGTTCAATCATCCTACAAGATTTCTATACATTATGCCATCATCATGCTTAGTTCTGTCATTACACTGCAATTTCTCATTGACATTCACAAGAGTAGTTGTTGCCGCGCACTCAGACTTTAGTGATTTTTTTTAGCGAATCTATAGCATACTTCTCCTGAGATATAAAAATATCATCTTCCCTTTGTGTCGCCTCAAGGCCCAAAAAATACTTCAATAACCCAAACCAGCAATCTCAAATTTTGCCAATACTATAATTAAATTTGACGTGCACTTTGTCGTGGTGTGCACTCAAAATAATATTCAATACAACACTTATACGTAGTATTAGTGTAGTAAGGTTCGTATCCACAGGGAAATGAATACTTCTCTTTTTAATTAAATAGTAACAAGGGGTTTTTTAGATGTATTTGATTTTAATTAATTAAATACGAAGATGAACAACTTATATGGTTTACTTTAATAGAGATGAAGACTTGGTTTTGCTTTTATCCACTTAATGAAATGTTTGTCGATCCCGGTTATATCTTTAACTATCTCCCTCTCGAATACTCAATCGAGGAGTATATCCAGTTCATCGAGGGTAGTTATTAATAACGAGACGCGTTCATTAATAAAACTTACTACCGAGTTAATATAGAACACGCGCCGTATATTAACCTGATAGTAGCAATAAAATCAAGATGAAAACAATTGAGGTTGATAACCTCAACACAAGCGGTTTATTGGTTTAATCAACATAATTAATTCCCCTTGGTTTATTAACCATGAAACGCATGCATTAATAACCCAAGTTTACTACCGTGAAACGATCGAACGATTAACAAGCATATTCGTCAATCGATTCTAGTAATAATTAATATATGAAACAAAACTAGTTGATCCTTTAAGTAATGTTCAAAATATTAATATGAAATATGAATAGGAATTAATTAATACTCAAGGAAGAATATTAAAGAAGATGAATCCTACTATAGTTAATATCAAGATGTTAACTAATTGCCATCTTAGTAACACTCCCCAATATTAACGTAGAGGAAGAAATAACTATTACTATAACTAATGTCAAGATGTTAACTAATTGTCATCTTAGTAACACTCCCCAACATTGATATAGAAATATTATTTAAAGGAATAATTAATATTCAAGGGAGAAGATTAAAGAGAATAACTCACAACTTACAAATTCATTAAGCTTCAAAGTAGCAAAATCAAGATGGAAGAGTTTAGCTCCTCATTTGGAGACTAAACATGAAGAAAATATAAAGAAATAACTTGTCTAAACTGAGCTTAGAAGTATATAGGAATTGGTCTCTAATTGTGACGGGAAGGAGGTGTATTTATAGGCTTTTTGGGAGTGCAGTTCGGATACCCGATCGAGTATTGGTGTATATATATACCCGATCGGGTATGTGTAAAAAGGGTAGTTTTGAGGCATACTCGATCGAATTCGGAGTGAAAATAAAAGGTATACCCGATCAGGTATATAGGTGTACCCGATCGGGTATTACAATTGATCGTGGCCAAATCTTCGCCTGCACACCCTTTTGTCTCCTGATTGATCTGATTGAAAGTCCAGTTGGTACCCGATCGAGTATATGGTATACTCGACCGGGTACAGGTCAAAAATTAGGATGTTGCCTCCTTTTTGTCTTGTACTCTTGCACCTTCCTTCACCAATGATCATTTGATTGATCTTGGACCTGTTTAAGCTCAGAATGATCCTAATCTAAATGAATTACAACTAAATAACAAACATAACTATTACACCAAAAGTGTGTAATTTCCGAAATATTAAACAACCAAAACTAACTAAAAACGTAAACATACACACGAAAATTACACGCGTATCAAAATTCATCATGGACTGAGATGAACCTATATAAATTATGTCATTGATATAAAAACAGACCACTAGAAAGTGGTTACCATTCTACATCACATTAATAGTTGTCTCATTCATGCTTTTCTCGAATCCAAATTGAAAAAAATCATCAATCTTGTTATACCATGTGCATGGAGCCTGCTTTGGCCCATAAAGCACTTTTTACGTCTTATAAACTTTTCCTTTTTCACAATGAAGTGCATACCTCTCTGGCCGAGAGACATACACCTCCTTTTCTAATTCACATTTAAGAAAAGCAGACTTCACATGATCACATCGAGCTAGAACACCAGTAATTTAAACTGAGGAACTACACAAACAAAGACTCTTTATGTGAAAACTATGCTCAGTTCTTACTTATTTTTTTATACACAATTTAGTCAGGGAATTAACTTTAAAATTACTCATTTTTCATATACAATTCAATGCATGATATAAAAAATAGTGATCGAAAACCTACTGAAAATACGATTTACCAAACGCGTTGTAATTAAATAAATCGAAAGATGGAAGGGGTTCTATAAAATATTTACTTCCTCCGTCCCGAAATAACTTTCCTACATTCTTTTTTCGGTCCGTTCCAAAACAATTGTCTCATTTCCTCTATTGACTATAACATGTGACTCATATCAATTCACTTTTTCTCTACTCAAATCTCAACCACAACTTTTGCTTTTTAAGCAACTTTTTTAAAACTTGTGCTAAAGTAATAAGAAAATTATTTTGGGACGGAGGGGTCCGGAGTCCGGACCCATCCGTCCAATGCTCCTGAGCAAGAGATCCGATCACCCGATCCAAGTTACTGTCCCATGTCCACTGTACAATGCATAACATTGCTTTACAAAAAGCAGGTTCTTCGTACGGCTTTTTGAAAAAGCAGCTTTTTTGAAAATCTCCAAGCTAAGATTCATTACTGAAGACCAATGGAATCATCATACGAGTAATAATAAAACCTCCTGTGAAGAAACTGCAGAGAGTGAGAGAACCACATACCAAAGAAGAAAAAGAGAAAATGATAGCGGGAACCCACCTTTCGCAAATGAACACATACGACCTTCAAATCGGCGGCGTGGGAGTCAAGACTCGAGTGGTCGACGACGTAATGCTTGTGGAGGCAGCCCTGGCAGAGCTGGGGGTCGGCGGCGACGGCGGAGCACATCCCATCGTTGGGGTGGACGTGAAGGTATCCTCGGATCTGTTCGGAAGGGGCAGAAGATGCGATCTGTTGATCCTATGCACCAGATCCAACTGCCTAATCCTGCAATTGGATTGCATGAGACGCTATAAATGTATCTCTCGAATAGTGACTACGTTCCTGATTTTGAAGGATGTTTCTTTTGTGTGTCCCAATGGATTTAAAAAGAGGACCCGGGGTCTGCCATTGTTTCCTCACGCTGATGAATTTTTGGTGACATCTGGCTGCTGTGGGCGTAAAAGGCGCCCGATCTGGTTTTACTGCTCGGAGATTGGGGCCGTTGAGGTCGGTGATTACGCTGCAAGGGCTCTGAAAAACCCCAAACTTCTCAAGTGTGAATCGTCCCAGAAACTGGGAGACGAAGCCGGGGTGGACCTCACTACTGGTAATTCAGCAAAACAGCGACCAAAGTGGGATTCTAAAGTTTTTTCCGAGGAGGAAGTTCTCTTTGTTATGCATGATGCTGCCGCCTCCTACCGGATTGTCCACAAGCTCCTCCATGAAAAATAATTAAATAAATCATCTCAATCTTATTGGTCTTTGTTCATCCACTAGTTTCAAGTACGTACTCCGTAATTTTTCAAGTGATTGGCTGCACTGCAATCACTTATTTTATTATTGTTAATTTTATCAATCTTATTGTTATTATTATTGTTATTGTGGTTCTTTACTCCTTTTATTACTTTTTTCGTATTATTATCTATTACAGAGTATTATTATTATGGTTATTATTATAGTCACACTTTATTACGATAGTATTTGATCACAAAATTCTTGATATACCATCTTGTTGGAGTATTCAGTTCACGCGGTTAGAGCAGGATTTTTCGGTTCGTGATAGGAACAGGCGTCTAGCCAATGTCTATCCAGGTACTAATACCGGACGTACTTTTGAGTCTTGGCTATGACATTTGCGGATCGAACCGTCCGGTACAGTCCCAATTCGGTCCCCATCGGCTTTTTGATTTTTTTAACTGGTTTTTTCCTATTGGCTACGAGTTATTCCCATTTGGGGCGCATTGGAGCCTCTCCTCGAACGCATCTTAGGATCAATGGAGGGATTAGGGGGTAGGGGTTGGGTGTAGACACATGAATGTAAGACTCCCCGTGGAGGCGGTGAGGACGAAGGACTACATCCAATCACATATACAGATATACGGAGTACTACGTATTAAGGTTTCTGAACTTTCGATCCTGAGTTTTTTTTCAAAATAATTTTGAATAAATAAATAATTCTCAAATTAGTGTTTGGTTTAAAGTATTTCCCAAAATACTGCTCAATTAACCACACTTAAGAGCCCCGCGACTTCAAGTGACATCTTATAAGGAATGAAAATAACGCACGTACCAAGGAGGCGAGAGAGGAGCATGTCACTAAAGACTCAAGAATCTCACCAAATAAAATCCCTATTTTTTAAAGTGGTATAACTTTTTATTTGTTCTCCAATTGTTACAAAAAATGTATCAAATTTCATAACTTTTTATTATCTTTCATTTGATACCAATCTTGAATATATAAAACTAAAAAGATAATTATACACTTTAAAAATATCTAATTTTTCAAGGTGATATATCTTTTTTATTTGTACTCCGACTATTACAAAAAATATATCAAAATTCATAACTTATTATTATCTTTCATATGATATGAATCTTGCATATATAAAAATAAGAAACTATACTATTAGTTTTTGCAGTTTTGGATCGTTGTCTTCTAAAAACCTTTTTTCTCTTAAAGTGTTATGGAGTATAAATTTTTTCGTATGGTACCAATATTGCATAAACTTTAATTAAAAAATAACTTGGCAGTTTAAAAGTCACTTTTTTCTTAGTGTGCATAATTACAAACGATCCAAAACTGCAAAAATTAATGGTATAGCCTTTTATTTTTATATATGCAAGATTGATATGATATGAAAGATAATAAGAAGTTATGAATTTTGATATTTTTTTGTAAAATTGTAATAATCGGAGTACAAATTAATAAAAAAGATATATCACTTTGAAAAAGTAGATATTTTTTTAAGTGTAAAATTATCTTCTTAGTTTTATATATTCAATATTGGTGTCAAATGAAAGATAATAAAAAGTTATGAAATTTGATATATTTTTTAGGCTTAAATACACTTTTAGTCCCTGTGAATATGACACACTTTGTTTTAGGTCCCTGTGAAATATTTGTTTTTGTTTTTCAGCCCTACAATATGCACTATTTTGTTTTGAGTCCTCTGATTCCGAAATCAATCTACTTACAAAAAAAGTTATTGTCAGCTGCATAAATCCGCTAGAAATACTTAAAGGGAAAGTTCCCGAAATAGGACTAAAACAGTTTTAAGTTTCCAAAATAGGACTGCCAAATTTTTTATTCCCAAAGTAGGAGTAATTACTGTCATGTTTGGAAAATACTGCCATGTTAGAAGTCTGGTACTGACAAAACATGACAATAATTGGTCCTATATTGGGAATAAAAACATGACAGTCCTATTTTGAAATTTTCAAACCTTTTAAGTCCTATTTCGGGTAATAAAATTTGTCCTTTTATAATTTTTTGAGGCTGATATGAGAGTTAAAACAATGTAATACTAAGTATTCACATTTTAAAAATATATATTAAAAACATTCAAAAACATTTTAAAAAAACTTTTTGAATAACATGACAAAGAATTTGAGGGAATCTATTAATCAGGGTTATTTTGAGGTCAAGCGGAGAATGTTATCATCTGTGATGGACAAAAAAGAAAATCAACATAAATTGCAGGGATGAAAAATAAAAAAATAATTTTGCAAGGATGTAAAACAAAATGCATTATATTTGCAGGGACTAAAAACATATTTAAACCTATTTTTTTTATAACAATTGAAGTACAAATAAAAAAGTTATACCACATTAAAAGAAAATAGGGATTTTATTTGGTGGACTCTTGAGTCACATGCTTGTTACGCGCGTTAATTTTCATTACTTATAAGCGGTCACTTGGAGTGACAGTTCTCTTAACGGTGGTTAATTGAACAGTATTTTGGGAATTATTTTTAACCCAACATTAATTTGAGATTTATTTATTTATTCAATATTAGTTTTGGAAAAAACTCCTAGATCCTTCGATAATTAATTTCATGTATAATGATAGTTAACATAAAACGGATATGGCTGAATTAGTGGTTGAAAAAAAGTTTACAATTTTGAAATCATTCTAAAAAAAATCCATTTAAAGGCAAATCGTTAAACAATATACTACATCCGTTCTATTTTAAATGCAATATTGAACTTTTCGCACTATTAATAAATAAGGAAGCATGTAATTTTGGAAAAGCAAAAACTTATATTTTTCGCAAATTTCAACGGTAGTGTACGTTACTATGACATATGAAATGATAATTAAATGATGCGAAAGAGGGTTATTGCATTTAAAAAGTTCAATAATATAGTACGTCGAACATGTAATTAATCTATATAATATATTATAATATAATATAATAAAGCAATCCTCTAAAGAACCCTTTAGAGGAATTGTTGACATGCGACAACATCCTTTGTTTAAAAAAGTGACACATGGCAAAACAATAAATTAAAGAAAAAGCTATTCAACTTTAAAAACTCTACTCTTGAATATTCCAATATTATATATATGTATTTATATTAATATATGTGTATATATTTGTTATAATTTTCAATATAAAATTATTTAAAATTTTGCACTCGCCGGTATTACAAAATTCAAATACTCAAAAATAAATAATAATTAGCAATTTTTAGCCACTATAAAAATAAATATATTACTTCTATTTCTTTTCTCATAAACTCTTGCAGGTTCTCCCTTATTCGGAATTTTTATAAATTGGTTCTTATTTGTTTCCAAAATATGATGAATATTACATCCTCTATCTCATTCATTTTCTCAGATATTTTCTTTTTCTTTGGTTCACTAAGTTTGTGTAGCTTCAAATATTATAATGCATATGTAGTTCTAAATCATTCTTACATTATTGTCCCTCCGTTTCATTTCAAAATTAGCTAGATAAACTCTTTTTTAATAGCTGCACATGTCTCGATCTTAATGAGACAAATGTGATACTACGTATTACTTATCTATTTATTAATTCACAAGGTCTACTAAACCAGTGTTTAAAAGTAGATTCATTTTTTGTCACATATTTATTTATACTTCACAATTTATGTTCATGTTGTTAAATAGGTTAGCACTCTCCAATTTCATCGCTTCGATCGTCTAACTGCCCAATGGTCTCAAACGACGCACATTATTTTTAATGGGGGTGCACAATACACTTATAGTTAAAATAATGCAGACTTTAAACAGACAAGAAAAGTTGAATTTTTACAAAAATGTCACAACATTTTTTATTTATGATAGCACATATTTCTATTTCAAATAATGCACAATTTATAAATCTAACATTCGAGTTCATTCTAATTCCTTTTTTACACGTTAAGGTGTCTTCTCATTTGAACTCAACCTTATATATATAATTTACAATTTTCAAATCTAATGTTCCGGTACATATATAGAAATAATGCTAGAGTAATTTATTTGAATAATTAGTATATATAGAAATAATAGTTCAACAAGAGTTGTAAATTAATAAGTATATTTGAAAATTATTTTGGTAGTATAGCATCAATATTGAAGATAATGAAAATAAAAAATAGATGTTTATATTTTGGTTTACTCGCAACCTGTATGGGTCAACTCACTTACCCTGCAACCCATGCAAGTTGCACCACGAAACTGGTGAGTTCATCGGATTGAAGAATGAATGACAACTCTAATCCACCGTGAAATGAGATGAAATGGGCTAATCCTATGGACTTCGACTCATTTTGACAGCTCTATCCATACTCGATTAAAGTTTTCTTTTAAACACTAATTGACAAATTCATATACAATTTATTTTCCCTACAATTTAATAAAAACTTTAAGCACATATTTTCGCGTGCAGTGCACGGGTACACATACTAGTATACTTATAAAGTACGCAGTAATTGTTATTCTTAGAGTTGAAAATGAATTACCTACTTTTTAAAAATAATGTTGTGGTCATATTATTAAACGGGTTCCAATCTGAATATTTCTAAAAAGTAGAGAATAAAGAAATTATCATTTTTTATTTCAAAAATGTGATTAAAAAGATGACACAGTGAATTTACTAAATTACCCCTAATCTCCAGTGAATTTATATGAAAGTGACATAACTCGCCACAATGACCACCGCCACAATGACATCCGATGTAGTGATCTCCGTCGGACCGCCAATGACCGTCTCTTCCACAGTGCCACGGGCCAAAGTGACACAGTGAATTTGGCCCTAGTAACACAGTGACCCCGACCACAGTGACACAGTGACTACGACTACAGTGACACATTGACTCCAGCCATAGTGACACACTGACATGGTGATTCCGGTCATAGAAACATAGTAATAATGTAATATTGGCCAGTAAACTCACCACCGTCGCCCAAACAATGACCTCCCAGTCCCTTTATTTGTTGACCCCCAGACCATGCAAAATCATTGCCCAACACCACACCTGGCCCATCAGCGCCAGCCACGTTATTTGGGATTACCTTCTCTGGTAGGGAGGGGGAAGAAGGCTATCCTAAGTTATTTACGGGAGAGGATTGTCAATAAAATAAAAAACTGGAATAACAGGTTTTTATCCCGAGCAGGGAGGGCAGTATTATAGAAAAATGTGGTTCAAGCGATGCCCACATATGCTATGAACGTTTTTCTTCTACCAAAAGAGTTGTGTGATGAGATAGAGA